AAAGCAAGTGGTTCTGTAAACTAAGATGGAAAATATGGACGTTCTCATCGCGAAAAATATGCATCAATTCTGTAGTAGCAAGATCGAGTTACAACAGAATGAATAATAATTCCGAGAGTACACTCAGTGGACTTACAGTCAATGGGCCTAGTGAATCGATGCGATTCACGTTATTTATGGTCATACAAAAAAAAAGTGAAAGTGTTTGTGTGTGTGTTTGTCCGTACACGGGTGTGACGGACGTAAGCACACACGGTGACGGACGTACATACAAATAATCACGTGGTAGTGTGCCGGACGTACATACACAGAATCACTAATGAGTGTCATTGACATTGGTGCACAGAAGTGCTTGGGTTCGAGCTTTATGTGGAATCAGGGAGGTGTAACACCTATGCTGGCTGCGAACGCGGACCGTAAGGACGCGTGAACATTGTCTGCAATTTAGAAATTTTTTTAGACCCCTGGGGTTCTTTGGGTACTCTCGAGAAACCTAGTATAGATTGAAGGTACATTACGAAGTTTACACATCATGTCAGAGAAATAATCATAACCACTTACTTTAGCTTTTTTAATTTTTGAATAAGTACTTTTTCTTCGTATCAACTAAATGTTTCTCACGGATGAAAAGCTACACTAGGTTTTCTCAACTTTCCAAAGTCATAACTCGTGGAGTTTAGCTGCTGGAGCGATGAAACTTTCTGTGGTAGTGGGCCACACCATGAGTAGTATAACAAAAAAAGAATTTCGAAAATCGATCCTCAGGAGCAGAAGTTTCGCTTAAAACACTACCAGAAACCAAATTGTACAACGAAGATACGATTGACTCATATATAGCTGTCTTACTGGTATAACAAGTATTTTCAATTTTAGCTGTCCTTCATAATGCCTCCATGAGGAGACCGAAACATCGGATAATAAATAAAAAGTTACCTAAATAGGTGACACAGATGTCGGTAAATAGGTAAACAGATGTCGCGCCGACGCAGTACCAACAGAATTAGCTATTTTGCAGTAAGTAATTTCAGGTGTTGATCAATCTTAAACTTCCATACTGTTACAGGACTCCCCTTCATTGACAAAATTTCGTCCTCGACGTTTAGAAGAGTGCACGGGTATGTTTGTGGTCTTATGATTGGATGACCTGGAACTAATTAGTACAACAGAGTACTGCGAGTGATGCATGGCAAACACAGGTGTCGTATTCTCAAGTTTAAAATCAATTTTAATGAAAAGAGGCGAAGCATTTTCGTTTTGCTGTCAAACATCAACTTAAAACAACTTATTTTCATCGACAATAGCCATGCAACGAAGTCCATTACTCGTGGTCACACTTATGTTTTTACTGCTTACTTGCGTGCAAGAAGAAGGTGAGTCTTTCTTTAGTAGTTAAGAGCGACTTTGCCGGAGCTTCGACTAACACAAGGAAAAAGCCGAAATCTAGATTATTCTGAAAATACGTTTATTAAATTCTTCATACAAAACTGTAGCTACACCGTTTTTCAGGCGTGTCGCGACGTCATAAAGGAGCATGTTGTCTGTTGATCATATTACGACAAAAACTGACATCTTCTGAGTAGTTCGGCGTGGGTTTTGACAAGAGTCTTTAGCAGCTGCTCTAGGCAATGCTGCGCAAAAAGCTATGCTGATACATTGATACGTACTTATAGCGATGTTCAGTATTAGACAAGTTTACTGAAAAATGGTTTAATAGCTGGATCAATGTTATCAAGTAATACGTTTAACGTAATTTTTCAAAGCGCGTCTCCAACGTTCTGGCTACCGTTTTGTATAGAGAATTTAATAAAAATATTTTCAGAATAATCTAGATTTCAGCTTTTTCCTTGTGTTCACTGCTGGTGCTCGATTCACTCGCGAGTCGTGTGTTGAAGTGCTAGGGTTTCATTTACTCTTATGTCTCACTTCAGCTGCCAAGGCCATCTTTTCCGATCATGGTGTGAACGCACGAGTTGCTCGACAAACAACTTGCTATAACGCCTTTAGCGACGTATCTGACTGCGATAATCAATGCCCCAAGCTCTGCAGCAAGATTGGCTTCAACGAAGGATACTGTAACGGAAGATATTGCGAGTGCCGCACACAGAACTGCGGGTGAGCGGCAGTTCATCCGCACCATCGACGTACGTTTGTATTCGAGTTTGAAAAATAAACGTGATGATTGGCCGAATCGGAAGCTCATTTCTGTGTTTTTTTTGTAAGACATATTTTGGATTTGTAACAGTAGCCATTACTATAAATTATTTTATTTCAACAAAACATAAAATAAAGTAAAATAGTTTTCCTTATTTTATTTATTATCCGATGTTTCGGTCTCCTCATGGAGCCATTATGAAGGACAGCTAAAATTGAAAATACTTGTTATACCAGTATAGACAGCTATATATACTACGAGCGAACATAAGAAAAAATACAACATTACATAATCACTTTTCACTTTCTTCATTGCAGATTTGTGTAACCCTGCGGGCTAGGGTTGTTGCTAAATTCTTTAAAATGAAGTCTGGGTGACCTGATTCGGCCTGCACATATTGAAATGTGTCCGTAGGTTTATTAAATAATTTATTATTATCTGAAAGATTTTCAATTTTGAATTTCAAGTTTAGATTTATCTCATTCAATTTTTGTAAAAATTTTCAAAATCTTACGTCGTCAAGGTAGCGTAAAAACGTAAGTGGTAGTTTGTCAAGTTTCTCAAATAATTTCAGTTCATTCAATAAAGGAGGGTGTACACGGTGTACCCATAGCAGTGGCAAACCTTTGTGAAAAATATTGTCCCCAGAAGTGGAAGACATTATTACCCAAAACAAGTTTTAGTAACTGGACAAGACCGCGTCTTCCAATCGGTACATCAGCAAATTCTGTATTCGTAAATATAAGTGCTGAAACTCTTGCAGCTCCTTCCACAATCGGAATATTAGTGTAAAGAGATTCAATATCAGTCGTAGCTAGCCAAATCTTCCTTAGATCCAGTTTTTCATTTTTTATCGCATTATTTATCGACTCGATTTCATTAATAAATTCTTGAGTACTACGTATTACCTTATAAAAAGCACACGAGTACTTGTCTTTAGCAGAGACAATAGGTCTACCCGGACAATTTTTCTTATGAGCTTTCGGTAGAATATTGCAAAATGAGCAAATCGCAAAACATGTCGGCTGTACGTGACATGTCATCCTTACCATATCCAAAACATAATCGTCTTGGACGATGTAATTTCGTACGAAGAAAAATTTTTTGACTATTAGGTAGGTCGTTACTCCCCAATATATTTTGTATCGAAGAAAATGCCACATCATCCGACGATTCATATTCATTTCCCGTTTTCGGAGGAGTTATTTTACGCATTTCTAGACGAAAAACTTTGTTCCATGAGCTTTCAATAGTTTCTTTCAATTTTACACTTTCCTCTCTTTCCACATCTACCATTTCTCGTTCTTCTCTCATTTCACACAACTTATCTCGTAATAATTCACGTTTCGCTTCGGTTTCCGCAATCGTTTGTTCGATAGCTTGTGCCTCGTATTTCAATCGATCTTTACTGGCGTTTTGAATGATATCTAACCATTGTTGCCTAAGTTTCGGATCATCAGCACCGAAATTCTGTTTTGGTAAGTTACATCGATCTGGAGTGACTTAGGAAAAAGATTATTTTCACGATAATATACGTTTAGTGCTAAGTGATTTCTAAACCGATAATATCGACTATATTCGTTACGGTATTTTCCTATCATGTTCTCCTCTTCTTCGACAGCCGTAAACGCTGTTTGAATAACCATATGTCGACTTTTACCGTTGCATATACGGCAATAATCCTCTTGTCGATGGTTCAATTCACAACTCTCTCGTCTACATAGTTTATTATTATGTACTCGAGCTTTACAGTCCATCGTTAACCACCATTCTTTATAAATCGAAAACCTTCGGTGTTTTCCTCTATTGCTTCTTGTTCAATGGTTGATGCCTCAAAGGTTAAGTTCGTTTGGACTTCCGAATCAATCCACCGTCGTGAAGAGAGAAGAGGAGCACATATACTAATCAGAGATGTATGACCTGTAGTAGTTGTAGTTGCACTATTAGAGTTATTTCTGATTGTTTCATCGGTAATACCGTCAATCCGTATAGGAAAAAAAGTTGAAGTCATATTATTAGTGTTTACTGATGTAGAGGGAGGATTCATCTGTATTCTGTCCTCCAGTGCGGTTGTCAACTGTGGAGGAACTGTAATCAGTTCCACATTATTATTAACCGAGGTCAATGTTACAAGTTGATCATGAACCATCGTAATCTCCTCCTCCTCATCTAAAAAACTCAGTTGTGTACAATTCGGTGAAAACGAATCCAGATTAGGTGTGTTTGTAACTAATGAGGGTTCTGAATTGTTATATTTTGCTAATTCATCCGTTTTGCAGTACAATCATGGTTTTTTTTGCTAATTCATCCGCTTATTCAGTACAATCATGGTTAAAAAAAACAGTCAATCCGCTGGTTTGACAACTCCAATGAAAATGTTAGCGCTAAATATGCGAAGTATAACTGCAAAAGCTACGAAAAATTCTAATTCTACTTTAACAAAGTTTGAATTGCTTCAGGCAATGTGTGAACGGTCAGACCCTGCTTTTGTTGCTATCACTGAGACATGGTTAGGTTCGTCGATAACAGATAAAGACATTACAATGAGTGGCTATACGTTACATCGCTTAGACCGTGACCGCGAAGGCGGTCGATGTCTCTTGTACCACAAAGACCATTTGAAAGTCAAAAGGATTTCTGCTATTGAAGACACGAGTTTTGAAATTATGTTTTTCGAAATTTTACTTCCTAAAATAGAAAAGACTTTCTTTGCAGTGAATTATCGATCACCAGGTCTTTCAAAAGCAGAAACTAAAGAATATATAGAATTTTTGAGCAATACTGTTTGTGATGTAATCAAAATCGGATCTTTTGATGGTGTAATTTTGGTAGGGGACTTCAATGCACATAGTGGTATTGTTATGACCTGCCGTTCCTGGCAGCTCATAAGACTATGTTCTCTTCTTCTTTTCCTTTCTTTCTGCTCTTACGCAATACTTGTGTCATCCTCTGGTTTTCCCAACTCTTTCTGTTCTTGTGTAACTCCTGCGCAACTCTTGCTTAACTGTTGTTCAACTTGTGCACTATATATAGCCGTTCACTTTATGCAAATAAATATGAGAAGTGAGTGATTAGAACCTCACAATTGTTGCACTAGCCGACCGGTCGTCTTTTCCATCACTATGCGGTGCGGTTCGGGTGATGAAAGATTTATTTGGCTCAACAGTTTGTTATAGTCTTCTGATCATCGTCGATCGTCGACCAGGCAAATCACAAGGCAATGAAAAAAGAAACGGCACAATGGCGTGCTGCGTCGTATGTTTACTCAAGGGATGGTAACTCTCCTCCTCTTCGAGCAATTTGACGATTGGCCTTTGGTGGTGGCAACCAAGAGGCTTCAAATGAATGACTTTGCCTCGACCAACTACACCGTCGACATTTAGGCGCGTCAAAGCAACTTCGAGGGTGGCAACTCGAAGGCCAAACGAGCATTTGGCCTCGACGATCAAGCAGATTGTGCGACAAGGGCAAGTCCTGCGTTCGGTGGCAAGTAGGGCTGTGTTGACATTCTCACAAGTTCAACGGAACGCTGGTGCGACCTCGAGTAGTGGCAGCTTGAGGCTCGAAATGGGAACTTCGCCTCGACGAGGAATATTTCGGCGACAAGGGCATTCCCAATCCACGCGTTCGACAAGACGGGTGGCCAAGACAGGCTTCGATGTCCAAGGATAAGAAGCTGACCATGTGTATATGTACCCTTTTCCCTCTTTCCATTTGTTTTCATGTTTATGTTATCTTCTGTTGTTCCTCTTGTTGTTGTGATTTTTCTTTGTTTTTTTCTCTGATGTTAACTTCTTCGCCCTAGTCATTGTACTAATGATTTTTTTGACGCGCGGGGCGCACATCTTTGTTTGGCCGGGGAAGTGTTATGACCTGCCGTTCCTGGCAGCTCATAAGACTATGTTCTCTTCTTCTTTTCCTTTCTTTCTGCTCTTACGCAATACTTGTGTCATCCTCTGGTTTTCCCAACTCTTTCTGTTCTTGTGTAACTCCTGCACAACTCTTGCTTAACTGTTGTTCAACTTGTGCACTATATATAGCCGTTCACTTTATGCAATAAATATGAGAAGTGAGTGAACAGAACCTCACAGATATCTAGTGCAATTCGCATCCAGAAACAGCAGCTGGTAAAAAGTTTTATGATTTTTCTGAGACTTTCAATTTCAAACAATTAGTCAAAGAGCCTACGAGAGTTAGCAAGGATGGCAAAACAAAAACAGTACTTGACTTGGTATTCACTAGTTCTGCTACCTTCATAAAAAACGTAGAAGTTGAGGACGTTTTGTGCGAAAATTATGACCATAAGATTGTAAGAGTTGTGCTTGCAACTGACATGACTCGATCGCCCTCATTGACACGTAAAATTTATAACTACTCTGCTACCGACTGGAATTATTTTCGTCATGAATTAGTAAAACTGCTTAATACTGTTGCAATTCTCTTCTACAATTCAACTTGTGTGAATGAGAAGGTAATAGTATTAGAAAATTGTGTAATGGATGCAGTAGATAAATGTGTTC